TTCAGAATTATCAAGAAACACTTTGTAAATATATCTGATATCAACTTTCCTACATTATCTCACAGCATTTCATTTTTAGTAAATTTCAGATTAATTAGAACAACAAAGCAAAAATTTGTTATCTAAAATTAATATGAGGGATCCATTAGGACTTTAACTCATGATCAACAAACAGTTTCAAAAGTGTTCAAGGTCTACTACATATGTAAAATTTTGCTTTTAAATTAGATTCTTTTGAGTATTTTTCTATTTTTTTCTGCCTTGTGCTTAAGGTTTTTTTTTCTTTACATTCTCTGTGAGTGATTTGCAATTGCTATAGAAATATTTAAAATTAATGTATTGTGGGTCTGTTCTGGAACATCTTGTTGTACTTTATTGATTCAATGCCTTCTGGCAACGTTAGAAAGGAATGATGTCCACAGAAACAAGACTGAGGCATAAATATCGTGAGAAGACAATAACCTGACAAGAGAGACAAGGTCTTCCACAAGTAGGAAGCTGATAAGAGGAAATAGTTATATAAGACAATAATTTAAAAATTTATTTTCTATTATCTATTGAATAATACTTTTTTCAAAAAATGTGTTTTCATTGAAGATATATAGGCACCTGGTGTTAATACCACTTCCTAAATAGTAACGATTAATATAAAAAAAACCCAGTATCTAAGGCTTGAGCAAAGAAGAGAGACTTGCTAAATTCTGGTCCAAGGACAGGAAAAACTATGGCATCAGAATGGTTATTCTTACTGGCACTGTAATGTAACTCTACCTTGCAAAATTCAGATTTTATCATCTTAATGTGACTGTTGGAAAAGATAACACAGAAATTTAGTATCATGAGAGCAGAGGGTGAAGTTATAAATGAAATAATAAATTAGTCCTTAGCTCACAAAACACAAATCATGCCAATGCTGCTGTTTCCTGGAGTTTGCTGTACACTCAGAAAACTAAAACCGAATAAACAAATTTCACTTGGTATTGGTGTGACCCCCCTTATATCTGTTTGGAAACACAACCAGCTACTAAGTTCTAAAATTAATTTGTACAGAAAAGAAACTCACTCCTATTAAATAGCCATGCTAGATCCAGACTTAGAAATTAGTCAGTTGAAGACTAGAGTTTCAATGGGTTTGTGAATACAAATATTTGCATTC